TATTAGAGTTGGCAAATAGGACTCTCCGGGCCGAGCGGGAGATTGACCAATCTACGACGAAGGTAAAAGAAGATAGATTGGATGAGAGGATCGGAGAGATGGAAAAAGACAACTCCCTCCTCCAGGACCGGGTGGCCGTCTTAGAGGCTGAAAAGGCTCAACTGCTTGCGCAACCGTCTTCCTCTTACACTTTAATTTTCCCAAACGTTCCCCGGGACCTGTACGAGGAATGGGTTCATACTGAAGCTTAATACGTGTTTTGAGATTTGTATAAGGTGGGGTCTGTTTCTGCAGCCACCCTTGATGATGTTCGTGTTAAGGCCCGCGAGGCTCGGGTCGCTTGTGGATATGATCTCGCCACACCTGAGGCTGGTGACGATGAGGGGGACGGGGGCATGGACCAGCTTGAAGAGAACGCTTGGTATGGTGTTGCATACCTTGAGGCCGATGGTGATGATGAAGAGGAAGGTCGAGACGACCCATATGGTCAGGGCGATGGTGCTGAAGCTCCCGATGGCGGCGACAAGTAGTTTTTCTCTTTCTTTCTTAATTTCATTGTAAGCTTGTGTATTTTTGTAGGTGTCTTCACAAGCCTTTGTAAAAAATGTTTAAGTATGAAATGGAATGCCCATATTGTTTTCTACATCTGTTTCCTTTTATGTGGTTAGTTTTTCTATACTTGTGTGTTTTTTGCTTGTGTTTCTTGTTCGAGCGAGGTCGAACATATTTCAACTTAGTCATGGTAGAGGGCCGATAGATGTTAGTTCGAGCGAGGTCGAACATATTTCAACTTAGTCATGGTAGAGGGCCGATAGATGTTAGTTCGAGCGAGGTCGAATGCATCCTGAGTTTAGTTATGGCCGAGGGCCGGTAGGTGGTAGTTCGAGCGAGGTCGAACATAACCTAAATTTAATTGTGGCCGAGGGACGATAGGTGTTAGTTCGAGTGAGGTAGAACATAACCTAACTTTAATTATGACCGAGGGCCGGTAGGTGTTAGTTCTAGTGAGGTCGAACATAACCTAACTTTAATTATGGCCGAGGGCCGGTAGGTGTTAGCTCGAGCGAGGTCGAACATAACCTGAATTAATTATGGCTGAGGGCCGTTAGGTGTTATCTCGAGCAAGGCCGAACATAACCTGAATTAATTATGGCCGAGGGTCGGTAGGTGTTAGTTCGAGCGAGGTCGAACATAACCTAACTTTAATTATGACCGAGGCCGATAGGTGTTAGTTCAAGCGAAGTCGAACATAACCTAAATTAATTATGGTCGAGGGCCGGTATGTGTTAGCTCGAGCGACGTCAGACATAACCTGAATTCATTATGGCTGAGGGCCGGTAGGTGTTAACTCGAGCGAGGTCGAACATAACCTGAATTAATTATGGCTGAGGGCCGGTAGGTGTTAGTTCGAGCGAGGTCGAACATAACCTAACTTTAATTATGGCCGAGGGCCTGTAAGTGTATTAGTTCGAGCGAGGTCGAACGTAACCTAACTTTGAGACAAATGCGCTGGTAAGTGTAAAGTTTATTACCTTGATATTGTTGCATTTGTTACATACTTGGAGAAATTTACAGACTTAGGGTGTTGTCTGGCGTTCCAATCCCAGTCCCGGTCTATGTAGTCCCTTCATTGGTCGATCTGGAGAGTAGTGAGAGGTCGAGCAATGAAATAGAAATCAGGGTCTTGCCTTCGCATACTTTGAATTGGGGTGTTCCCTTCGTCGCCTCGTTAAAAACCTCATTGAGAAAAAACCCAATTGGGACAAAACTAAAGTGAGGGAAAAAAGAGTACGACTTGGGGGGAACTCTTTCCTTTAGAAGCTGAAGTACTTGAGGTGGTTGATATTCCAGTTGTTTGATAGTAGCTTTCATTCCATTGTTTCTAGCTGAAATGATCCTTTATTTGCTTTTGGTGTGATTTTGTATGGATCGTCCCGATTTGTTCCCAGCTTACCTTCCCTGGGATCTTTGCTCGCTTGGGTTTTAGCTTTCAGTACGTAGTCTCCGATTTTGAGCGGCCTGACCTTTGCTTTCTTGTTATAATAATGCTCTACTTGCTATTTTTGGGCGATCATTCTTATATAAGCCATATCTCTTCATTCGTCGACTTCATTGAGTTCCTGTCTTCGGTCATCATCATTGCTTGTGCCGCTCTCATGCGAATACCTTAGATTGGGCTCTCTGACTTTGACTGGTATTACCGCCTCGGTCCCGTATACTAAAGAGTAGGACGTCTCTCCTGTGCTCGTTTTCAGAGTTATCCGGTATGCCCACAATACTTCTGGTAGGACTTCTGGCCACAGTACCTTGGTGTCCTCAAGCTTTTTCTTTATGATGTTTAGTATTGAACCGACCGACGTCTCTCTTTGACAACAATGATACGCTCAAATTACACCTATATAAATGGTGTAAGGCGGTCGATGTCAAATATAATAATCCAACTAGGTTGGGGTCGAATCCTACAGGGAATAGGTGTGAAAAGGTTACTTGAGTAGTGTGAAACTTGGCTTTAGCCGTAGTTCTACTCCGTTAGTTTAAAATGAGTTTTGTAATTGTGAATTGTCAATAAAAACTATTTTGTTAAGAGAATTTGATTAATTTGATTAAGAAACCATGGTTGTGTCCCCATCAATGGAATGTAATGCTATCGACCTTAATATGATATATTTCTAATGGAAGGTCCTTTGATATGCAAATGGTTCCTAAATGACTACCCAATATTTTTCAATAATTAGGTAGTATTTTCTCTTTATGCTATCGGCCTTAATATGATAATGCTATCGCCCTACTCTTTATGTCCCCCGGCAACGACGCCAAAATTCGATACGCTCAGATTACACATATATAAATAGTGTAAAGCGATCGATGTCAAATATAATAACCCAATTAGGTTGGGGTCTAATCCCACATGGAATAGGTGCGAAAAGGTTACTTGAGTAGTGTGAAACTTTACTTTAGCCGTAGTTCTACTCCGTTGGTTTAAAAGGAGTTTTGTAATTGTGAATTGTCAAGAAAAGCTATTTTGTTAAGAGAATTTGATTAATTTGATTAAGAAACCAAGGTTGTGTCCCCATCAATAGAATGTAATGCTATCGGTATTAATATGATATATTTCTAATAGAAGGTCATTTGATATGCAAATGGTTCCTAAATGACTACCCAATATTTTTCAATAATTAGGTAGTATTTTCTCTTTATGATTTTCCCAAATATAAAAGAGTTATAATTACGAACAACCAATTTATGCCAAGTAGAACCCACTTATCCCTAAGCGATTCTATTAAATAAGGTTTAAAGCCTTGAGTTCTTGCTATTCAATTCTACCAAACCCCAATACATTTTTCCAAGTAAAGATAGAGTAAAATAGCACTAGTCAATGTTTGCAACCATCAACCATAAATGAAGCATGAGAAATGAATAGAAATCAATCAACTGTGATTGTGGGCTCTAGCTGCCACCTGTCTCTTTCCTCACATGTGCCAGATGTGCCAGGCCATTTGCGTTGGGGCTTATCCCTAGAATCAGATGTGCCAGGCCGTTTGCGTTGGGATTGCTGTGATTGTGGGCTTATAGCTGCAACCTGTCTCTTTCCTCGAGTGGTGGGTACTCTCGATGCTAGGGATTTCTTTAGTGTTATTCTTGCCAATTAGCGAAAAGTGAGTACATGGTAAGGCATGTGTAACATATGACAAAGAAATGAGAGACACAAAATGGTCTATAGAATACTTATGCGATCGTAGAACAACTCTGCGGACCGTAAACCACAATGCAAAACATGCCCTATCATAAGCAAAAAGTTATGCGGGCCGCACAAGTGGTCGCAAAACAAGTTTACGGCTGTAAATCGATCATACTTTAAACTTTGAAGCTTAGCTTGACTCTGCTTATGTCTGCGACCATTATGTGGTCCGCAAACCAATTTTGCGGCCGCAGACTCAACAACACAATTGTTTCCACAAACACCCAATCATGTAATGATTCTGCGGACCGCAAAGCAGTTGTGCGGACCGCAGAGATCATCTTCTCCACATAAAACTCACTCACACGCAACATTATGCAACACTAAGTAGCTAATGCAGAAATTGTGAGAGACCATTATACACACTCAACATCAGGTCAATTTCATGCTCAGCCTAACAATACCTAATACAAATTGTCAACAATCACCAACTCCCATACTCAAATCAGTATCCCTAACTCTAACCCCCTAATTTTGATTGGACCACAACAACTTTTCTCCCAAAGTAGATGCCCAATACAAGAAACAAGAAGTAAGGTAGAGAGAGAAGGGTATAATGGATGAGAGGCGAGTAAAATCAACTAGCAATATCAAATCACCCGAGCAAGAGGAATGTCAGAAAGTCACATACCAGCTATCGGAAGATTGAGAAAGCCTCTTGGGTGTGAATTGTGCGAGCAAGGTGAGCCTTTCTCTCTATTTTTTTTCCTGTGTTTTTATTTTGTGTTTTGTTTTCATTTCTGGGTGCATGAAATTAGAGTAGATAGATGGAAATGAGAGAGAGAAATAAACTAGGGTTTAATACATGACGGTTTTGCGGTGAAATTACCATCGCATAACAGATTATGCGGCCACAGAATCATTTTATGGGCCGCAGAAGTTGAATTTTCTCCGCATTTTAAGGCCCAATTTGAATGGTGTTCTGCCTATGTCTGCAACCATTATGCTGTCCGTAAACTCTTTATGCGGCCGCATATGTTGCCGCAGAACACAACTGAAGCGCAGCTTGCTTTCCTTAATTTTTCCTCTGCCTTTGCATCCCATTTCTTTGTATTTTGAGTAAACTTCACTCTAAACACGCACGTCAAACTGTTCAACACTTACAAATAAACCTACCAAAATAAAAATCTAACAAAAAAATGTTACCAACACATGGGTTGCCTCCCAAGAAGCACTTGATTTAACATCGCGGCACGATGATGTTTCTCCACTTTGGCTAATCAGTGGTGGGGATTGGTACAGGACCATCCTTGAGTGAAAATTATTCTACCAGTTGCCTTTCTCCAATGGTTCCGAGGTAATGCTTCACCTTTTGGCCATTTACTTTGAAAGTTTGAGTCCCGTCTTCGGATTCTAATTCAATAGCGCCATAGGAAGACACACTCACAACTTTGAATGGGCGAGACCATTTGGATTTGAGTTTGCCCGGAAAGAATTTCAATCCTGAGTTGAAAAGTAAGACCAAGTCACCAGATTTGAATTCCCATTTCAAAATCTTCTTGTCATGAAAAAACTTCTTTCTTTCTTTATACATGGCTGCATTCTCATAGGCATGAAAACAGAACTCTTCCATCTCGTTGAGTTGTGTCATCCTTAGATTAGCAACTTCAGCCCAGTCAAGATTTAACTTTTTTAATGCCCACATGACTTTGTGTTCAAGCTCCACTGGCAGGTGACAAGCCTTACCAAAAAACAACCGGTAAGGTGAGGTGCCAATGGATGTCTTAAATGCCGTTCGATAAGCCCACAATGCATCATCTAGCTTCTTTGGCTAGTCGGTCCTGTTTGCATTAACAGTTTTTGCTAGAATGTTTTTGATCTCCCGGTTGGAGACTTCAACTTGACCGCTTGACTGAGGATGATAAGGGGTGGCCACCTTGTTCTTAAGTTCATATTTTTCGAGCAACCCAACGAGCTTATGAAGGGACCCATGGAATCTATCCCCCACACATCAAAGATCTCGACCTCCATCACAAAGTTCATAGGCATATCATGCCTTGTAGAAATTGACCCTTGTCTTTGACATTGATCACACGCCTTGACCATTTGGTTTGCATCTTGGTAGATCGATGGCCAATAATAGCCATAAATAAGAACTTTTATCGCAGTACGGTTTCCACCGTGGTGACCCCCAACTGGGGAGTCATGACATGCTTTGAGAATTTGAGTCACCTTATCTTACGGAACACAACGCCGAATGATGTTGTCGGCAAAAATTTGGAACAAAAAGGGTTCCTCCCAATAGTATTGCCTACACTCCCGCAAGAACTTTTTCTTTTGATAAGCTTCCAATCCGTCGGGGATAAGGTCACTAACCAAGAAGTTAGCGATGTCGGCATACCAAGGAGTGGAGGTGCTAGATGATAGTAGCAAACATGTTGCTGTATGTAAAAGAAAGAAAAATAAAAAAAGATGAACTTATGATGTAAGCGCTTACATCGGCATTCTTATGATGTATGCGCTTACATCAACATTCCTATGATGTAAGCGTTTACATCGGCAGGGCATTCAAATGGGGTATGTATTTTCATTTGTATATCATCCCTCAACTTCTTATTTCTCTCTTCAATTAATAAAGAGCTATTCTTTGTGTGGTCGTGGAGTAGGCAAAATTGCCGAACCATGCAAATCTTATCTTGTTTTGTCTTGTGTAATTTATTTCTTTTCTCTTTTAAATATTTTTTCATTCTATTAGCCTGACACGTTTCCCAATAACCGGTATCTGAGCACTGATAGTGTAATTCTGGTAGAAAAGTACGGTACTGGTGCATGTACTATTCACAAGAATAGTGCGACAATATTGATCATCATTACTATTCATGGGCACTATTCACATATTTCTTTGTGTGAAAAATGGCATCAGAAGAAGGGAAGTTTAAGATTGACAAGTTCAATGGCAATGATTTTGGATTCTGGAAAAATACAAATAGAGGATTATTTGTACCAGAAAAAATTACACTTACCTCTGACCGAGGTAAAATCAGAGACTGTGGCCAAAACGTATTGGGATCTATTAGATCGCCAAGCTCTTGGTGTGATTCGTTTGACGCTAACACGAAATATGACATTTAACATCATTAATGAGAAGACCACTGCTTGCCTGATAAAGGTGTTATCAAATATGTACGAGAAGCCATCTGCTTCAAATAAAGTCTATTTGATGCGTCGATTGTTCAACTTAAAGATGACAGGAGGTGGATCTGTTACGGAACATATCAATGAGTTTAATGTAATGTTAACTCAGTTGAGTTCTGTTAATATAACATTCGATGTCAAAGTTAGGGCATTGATTCTACTATCATCTCTACCGGAGAGTTGGTCTGCAACAATAACTGTAGTTAGCAGTTCATCGGAAAGTACCAAACTCAAATTGGATGATATTAGAGACTTGGTTCTAAGCGAAGATATTCTCCGGAGAAAATCAAGTGATTCCCCAGAATCTGCTTTGAGCAAATGATTATTCAGCAAATGCAATTGCTGAACAAGTCGGTGATGCACTAATTTGTTGTGCAGACAGTCCAGTTAAATCTTGGATTCTCGACTCAGGTGCATCCTTTCACTCTACATCATGCAAAGAATTATTGCATAATTATATTGTTGGAAAATTTAGAAAATTTTATCTAGCAGACGGCGAACCTCTGGACATTGTTGGGAAATGTGAAGTTCATATAAAGACTTCACAAGGCACGCTATGGAAATTGCAAAATATCCGACATGTTCCAGGTCTCAAGAAAAATCTGATATATATGGGTCAAATTGACAGTGAAGGATATACAACAATATTCGGTAACGGATTGTGAAAGATAACCAAAGGAAATTTGGTTGTGGCATGAGGCTTCAAGAAGGGAACACTGTATGCAACTGCAATACAAAGAGATACTATAACAACGGTTGATCATGGTCGTGATACAACATTGTGGCACCGGAGGCTCGGGCATATGATTGAGAAGGGAATGAAGTTGTTTGCATCCAAAGAAAAGTTGCCAAACCTAAAGCATGTTGAATTAGGTATGTGCGAAGATTGCATTTACGGAAAACAAAAGAGAGTTAGTTTCTCAAAGGTAGGAAGGACGCCAAAGAAAGAGAAGCTAGAACTAGTGCATACAGATGTGTGGGGACCAACATCTGTAACTTCTCTGGGAGGCTCACGCTATTATGTGACCTTCATTGATGATTCCACAAGAAAGGTATGAGTTTATTTTCTGAAAAATAAATCTGATGTGTTTGTTACCTTTAAAAGATGGAAAACTAAAGTTGAAAATCAGACAAGTCTAAAGTGAAAATGTCTGAAGTCTGACAATGGAAGAGAGTATGATAGTCAAGAGTTTAAAGCATTCTGCTCTAAGAATGGGATCAGAATAATCAAGACAGTTCCTGGAACACCAGAACAAAATGGCGTTGCTGAGAGGATGAACAGAACCCTGAATAAACGAGCCAAAAGTATGAGAATACATTTTGGATTGCCGAAGTATTTTTGGGTTGAGGCTGTTAACACGGCAACTTACCTCATAAATAGAGGACCCTTTGTACCGCTGGATTTTGAAATTCCTGAGGAGGTATGGACAGGAAAGGAGGTAACTTTCTCACATCTGAAAATTTTTAGTTGTGTTGCTTATGTGCATGTAAACTCTAATGATAGATATAAGCTTGATCCTAAGGCCAAGAAATGCTTTTTTATTGGCTATGGTGATGAAAATTTTGGTTATCGATTTTGGGATGATCAGAATAGAAAGATCCTAAGACACAAGAATGTCACATTTAATGAAAATGTGATATACAAAGACAAGCTTAAAGTAGAACCAACCAGCACCAGTAGACAGACATCTGAAACAGTTGAGTTAGAAGAAATCTCAAAAAATGAAGTGGCTAGAGAGACTACACCTGGATCTAAAATTGAAGATGTCGAACCAGAAGCCCAATCAGAATCAGAACCAGAACCAGAGATAGAATCAGATGGAGAACCAGATCAGAAGTCAGGACTTGAATCAAATTCGGGACCAATTAATCCTGAACCTACATTAAGGAGTTCTAAAAGAGTCACGAATGCTCTGGATAGGTTAACTCTCTCTCTCTCTCTCTCTCTCTCCACTATTTACTTCTGACTGATGCTAGAGAACCAGAGCATTTTGTTGAAGCAATGCAGGTGATAAGCATTGATAAGTGGAAGCTAGCCATGAAATAAGAGATGGATTCTCTTCAAAAGAATAAAACATGGATACTTACAGAGTTACCAAAAGGAAAGAAGGCATTGCAAAACAAATAGGTGTACAGGGTCAAGAAAGATCATGATGGTAAGAAGAGATACAAAGCATGATTAGTAGTAAAAGGAGTTCAGTAGAAGGAAAGGAGTGACTACACCGAGATCTTCTCTCATGTAGTCAAATTAACTACTATCAGGTTGGTGCTAAGTATCGTAGCTGCAGAAAATTTGCATTTGGAGCAACTAGATGTTAAAACAGCTTTCTTTCATGGTGATCTTGAAAGAGACATCTACATGAAGCAACCTGAAGGTTTTCAAGTTTCTTGTAAAGAAAACCTTGTGTGTAAGTTGCAAAAGAGTTTGTATGGTTTGAAACAAGCACCCCGACAATGGTATAAGAAATTTGATGGATTCATGCGTAATAATGGTTTCACACGATGTGAGATGGACCATTGATGTTATATCAAAAATCTTGATAAATCCTATATCATTTTACCGTTGTACGTTGATGATATGCTAATTGCAGGATCTAGCATAAATGAGATCAACAGGGTTAAGCAACAACTGGCGTAGGAGTTTGAAATGAAAGACTTAGGACGAGCTAAGCAAATGCTTGGGATGAGGATTAGCATAAACAGGTCTGAAGGAACCTTAAAAGTGTCTCAATAAAAGTACATACATAAGGTACTAAGAAGGTTCAGTCTTCATGATGCAAAGACCAGAAGCACTCCACTCGGAAGCCATCTTAATCTGTCGAAGGACCAATCACCTAAGACAGATGAAGAAAGGAAGTACATGTCCAAAGTTCCATATGCTTCAGCAGTAGGAAGTTTGATGCATGCTATGGTTTGCACTAGACCTGACATAGCCCATGCAGTTGGAATTGTCAGTAGATACATGTCAAATCCAGGAAATGAGCATTGAGAAGGTGTAAAATGGATATTGCGATATCTCAAAGGCACCTCAGGTATGACACTTTGTTTTAAAAGGAGCAATATTATCTTACAAGGTTTTGCTGATGCAAATTTAGGTGGCGATCTGGATAGTCGAAAAAGTACCACAGGCTACGTGTTCACCTTGGGTGGTATTGCTGTTAGCTAGATGTCTAGACTTCAGAAAAGTGTTGCTCTATCTACCACTGAAGCAGAGTACATGGCAATCTGAGAAGCTGAAAAAGAGATGATTTAGCTCAAGAATTTTCTTAAAGAGTTGGGTAAAGAGCAGGACAATTGTGAGCTTTTCAGAGATAGCCAAAGTGCAATTCATGATGCCAAGAATCCAGTGTTTCATGCAAGATCAAAACATATCCAGTTGAGGTATCATCATATCCGAGAGTTGATAAGTGAAGAAACTCTTTCCCTGCAGAAGATACCAGAATCAAAGAACCCGTCAGATAATTTGACAAAAGTTGTCGGTGTTGACAAACTGAGGCTATGCACTGCCTC